TCAAGTCTTACTCCAATTTGACTTCTTCAGGGAAGGCATCCCTTAGTGCTCAGACTCTGTTAGGTTCCTTTCCCATAATCTCGCACTTGTGTGCTGAGTGTCCTGCCCTTCAGCTTTGAGTTCCATAAGTGCCCTCAGGGCCGAGCACACGCCTGGCACACAGAAGGTATGATCCATACTAAAGTGTTCAGCAAAGGAGTGGAATATTCGAGGTTAGGGAGAGGCTGCAGAAAGCATCGTGTGCCCCACTTTCATCTTACAGATGGGGAAACCGCACCCAGAGAGGCACAGGAGACTGAGCCAAGGTCACATGGCTAAGAGCAGAGAAGCCAGGCAGAAACAAGCCCCCCCACCCCCTGCTCCATGTAGGTAGGACCCTAGAAGCCACCCTCAGCCTGCACACCTCAGCCTTGCCCTCCTCGAGGAAACCACACCAGCTCATTTGCCTAAGTCAACAACAGCAACAAGAGAGATTGGGATCACTGGAAAATGAAAAGCATGCCACTCCCTCCTGACCCCAGCCCAGCCCCCCAACCCGTCCTGTGTTCAGGCAGCTTTCCCTGTTGCCCTGTGTGAACTTCTCCCCCATGAGATTCCAGGTGCAAGTTTGATGCCACACTGAGCATCAGGTGACTGCAGTGAGCAGGCCATAGCTAGGCCAAGTCACTGGTCAGACCCTGTAGGCCAGGGCCACCAGTGCTATGGCAAGAGGACACAGAAAGCATGACAAGGACAGAAGGAGGGGTCAGTGTCTGAGGTGGACATTGAAGGAGGGATTGGCAGTTCACCAAGCAGGAAGAGGAGGAAGGGCAACCTGGGGACAAGGACCGGCACTCCATAGGTCTGTCTGAGCTTCAGAACATGAAGCAGGAGTGGAAGACCTAGGCTGGGAGGCCCTGCTGGCTGTGCCAAGGGCTAGGGGCCTTCTCTGGAGGGCAGCGCAGTCTGTGAGGTTCTCAGTTGAAAAGCAGCCTGCTCAGATATCCCATCCTGTATCACCATGGCAGCAGGAGAGAGGCTGGAGGCAAGAGTCTCCCTCTGAAGCCAAATTCCCAAGCCCAAATTCTTGCACTCCAGTTGCCAGACTCAAAAAACTCAAGAAGGACCCAGTATCTGCTCTGTGCCATGACAGTCACCAATTTCTTCCCATTCATTGGCCACCACCCTTCTCTTGTGAAGTTACTTAACTGATAACCTCAAATATCCAGAGCCTAGCAGCCAGCCTAGAAGCAAACAAACAAACAAACAAACAAAAACACCAGGGTGGCTACAATTCATGCTCCCAAAGTCATGCCCTTCATGGCAGACACTTGGCACCCACAGGAACACGCAGGCTACCACTTGGGCTTAGTTATTTCTGATTACAGACAGACACCAGAGTCAATCCAGCTCTGGTACTTTCTAGTCATGTGGGCTTGGCCTGCAGTTTCCTCATCTGTATTATGGGTGCAATAGTTGTAGCTACCTTAGAGTGTGGCTGTGAAGATTAAAGGATGTCCTTAGCACACTGTCCAACACCGTGAAATCAGAGCCAAAGGGTACAATGGCAGAAAGCAGGACAGCAAAACAAAGGGCCACAAATGTGTCCTGAGCAGACAGACCCAAAAGAGAAGTCAGGCTAGAACCATTTGATAAAATTTTCAAAAAATTATTAAATCATCCCCAATGTGCTATGTTTATAAAGGTAAACAACACATTTTACAAAGAGTCCCTTTCAAACTAGATACAATGGGCTCGGCGCCTATGGCTCAAGTGGCTAAGGCACCAGCCACATACACCTAAGGTGGCGGGTTCGAATCCAGCCCAGACCTGCCAAACAACAATGACGGCTGCAACCGAAAAGTAGCCAGGCATTGTGGCGGGTGCCTGTGGTCCCAGCTACATGGGAGGCTGAGGCAGGAGACTCACTTGAGCCCAGGAGTTGGAGGTTGCTGTGAGCTGTGATGCCATGGTACTCTACCCAGGACAACAGCTTGAGGCTCTGTCTCAAAAAAAAAAAAAAAAAAAAAACTAGATACAATGAAAGTTTTGGTGCTTAGGAGGTAGAGCTACTAGAAAAATCAAAGTATGCAAGTTATGAAAATGACATAATTCCATGTGTACCTGCGTGCACCAAAAACATACCCCAAATCTGTAAATACAAATTGTATTTAACAGACTATAAGATGCCATTCATTGCAAGATGTGACATTATTATTTGTGCCACTAAGCAAGAAATATTGTGCCTATTATACTTGTAAGATGCCATAGAGAGTAAGATTCACTTCGATTTCAGAGCTGTTAAAGTGTGAAAATAAACACATCTTTTTTTTTTTTTTTTTTTGAGACAGGGCCTCAAGCTATTCCCCTGGGTAGAGTGCTGTAGCATCCCAGCTCACAGCAACTTCCAACTCCTGAGCTCAAGTGAGTCTCCTGCCTCAGCCTCCCAAGTAGCTGGAACCACAGG